TTCTAGTAATATATACACACTTATTATAATCTTCCGGAATAATTCATCGGTACGCATTTATACCGAGTAACAGAACCGGTATCTGCATTTTTTCATCAGAAAAAAGACTTTCAGCTTCATTAATCACTTACCATAATTATTTAAGCCTCATAATAATTATTAGGGTCGATTATGGACTTATTTCCTAATTTCACACAATTAATTAATTAATTAACGGTGCGGGTTCTTACACACAGCAACCTTCCTGAACGATGTACTTCCTCCACCGCAATAGGGATCGAGCTTGAAGCTGCCAAAGTTGAAGCTTTTGTCCCTTGAAAAGTTCAAGTTCACAAACTGCAGGTAAGTCAAAAAAAAAGTTCCTTTCATCCTTTCATTTTATTCTGTTATGAAGATGATGTAGTTATAAATATAAGTGTTATTTTTTGGGAAAATACATGTGTTGTTAGAGGTTGTTTTCATTGTAGAAAACATTCTGATCAAAAAAGAAAACAACACCGACAATAGTAACAAATTAGTTACTTATGACACTACTGGAAATGGAAAGGCTTTTTACGGAAGAAAATAATACTGATAACACTGAACAATTTTGGTACGATTGTATGTCACTTTATAATATCATCAGTGGGCCAAAGTTGCTACCTATTTTAGCAACTTTGGTCTTGCACAATTTCTACAACACCTGCACCGAGGGCCTGATACACTAGGTCAAATTCGCTGCCTTTCCCAGCGGCTTTTATTCCATAGTCCTGCCACTTCAGAAAAAGTAGCCATAGTCGCTGCACCAGACGACTACTTTTGGCAAATCAGCAACACACGTCCCTTTCAACCCAAAGTAGCTGCCTTAGGGAGCTACTTTGGTTCAACAGTCCCTACAAGGCTTTTTCCAGCCACGGGGAGTGACATGTGTCCCGTCCATAGTAGTTAAGTAGCTTAGCGACTATGGTGTCGTGGCAGTTTGGAAAAAATTTTCACTTTGTGGCATTCAGGTATATTGTTATGAAAAAAGGGACAGTACGGCCAAACACCCAAAAATCTTACTCTCATAATACCTATGCATTTCTTTTAGACTTTGAACACGTTCGTAATCTACATATAATTTAAGCTTGGGCTTGCTCTTAATAATATGTATGATAATCTGTTTAGCATAAGTTCCAAGACTTAAAGGACTACCTGGTTCTTGGTATGATGATAATGGTGGTTAGAGGCATTGAGCATTATACTTCACATTCAGATGATGACTTTTATTGGTGGGATGCAGAGAAAATCAATGGGGTCTCGGGACCGCGAAGGCCTAATACTGTTATTATAAGAACCCGCACCGCTAAATTAGAAATCTTAATAATTTAATTATGAATTTAGGAAATTATTCCATAATTAAAATATGATAATTAGAAGAAAATTATAATTATTAATATCAAGTCACCTTTCGGAAGGAAAATGCAAATACTGTGTAAATCGCAGTAAAAATGGGTATCGGCGAAGTGACTCGAAAAATAGAAATAAAAATATGAATATTATAAGAAAATATACTAAGTTAGTAATACAAAGTTTGAAATAAAAATAAATGAAAGAGGTATAAGAACTAATATCGAGTGTTTTAAGTGTGTTACCCTAAATAATAAAGATAATTCACTCACTCTTATTTCTCTTATTTTCGTATGTAGAACACTTCCACACTTAGCCTATTTTCTCTCTTCTTCCTCTCCAAGTAACTTGAGCTCTCTTCCATGAAAATCATCAAAGAACTCAATTTCTTCATCCTTTCATCACTCAACCCTTGTAGACACTTGAGAGCAAATCTTGTGAGGAAGAAAGCGCTCTTCTTAGGGCACTATAATTACTGCCCTGAGAGGTTTGAAGGTTGTCCTTTCTTATTGGAGTAGTTGAAGTCTTTTTTACACACTTTGGAGCACTAAGGAGCCATCATTGGGAAGAAAGAACCTTCTTTTACCAAGTCAAACTCGTGCACCTTGTAGGACAGAAGCAAAGTGTGGGTTTTTGAACTTGAAGACACTTCTTTTTTGCTATTTTTGAGCTTTGGATATATGTCTCTACCTTTGTTCTTTGAATTTTTGTGAAAAGATTAAGTCTTGGACATGTAAAATGAGTAAACATGATAACCTAAGTGACCACTAATATGAAAATACATAAAAATGATAGCTTGGACCTCTGTTGTTGGTAAAAGTGGGATCTTGATGGATATCTTCGTGAAGAAGGCATTTCTGCATTTCAGTTGTGAAATGTCCGGATATTGATATCCGGATATGGGTTAGGGAATATTCGAATATTGATATCTGGATATGTCCTGACAAATATCTGAATATTGCTCTGCTTTCGTGTTTTATACTATGTTGTCCAAACAGAACCTATATTGAGGACCTAAAACCCTTAAATGAACAGTGTGAACCTTTAAAAAATAATTATAAGCCATAATACAAGGGATTAAGGACTTATGGCTTTGGGAAAAAATCTGTAATACGTGAAACGAAAAGGAAATAGAGTCATGTTAGGCTCGAGGAGCTAGTATATGTTTATTGATGGTACGTATGCTGTGAAAATAGATTGTGTCCTTGCTGGACATTGTGTTGGTGATATTTTTGGTGAACCGTTGGACACCAATTTATTGTTGAAAGACTTAGCTGACAAGTAATTTTTCAGATCTCAGGGTTAATCCCTGTTTGTTCCAAACTTCATGGGAGATTGATTTCTATGTGGTATGCTATTTTTTTTATACTGATATATAGTTTATTGCGTTCATATGTATGTATATTGGTGTGTTGTACGTACAAGTGGGGTATTCTTGAGCATGGTGGAGCTCCATGATGGGAATACTCCAGAGTGTGGGTATAAGGTGGCGTTTCTTATACTTTTGATATGTAACAGACGTGTGTAAATTATACTTGTTCTTTGGATAGTAGGATTTTTTAGCACACATGCATGATATACATATGAGAATGCATCATGATTATTATACTGTTTTACATTATTCATACTTATATTATACCTAAAGTAAACTTGGGGCGGAGGAAAACTTTGAGAACCCGTAGTTTACTGAGATTTGTCAAAATTTGACCCCCGTGTGGGGATACCGTTTTCAGGTGCAGAGACTTATGGTATGGATGCACATAGAGGCAGGAGGCCTGCCTGAGCTGTTAGCATGATATGCATGCATCATTGTGATCTTCATATACTTTTATTGTAATTGAGACATATTTTTATTGATAGTACTCAGTATGTTATATTTGATGCGAGTATAGGGATTGTCTATGCTGCTATTAAATAATCTGGTTGTTATGTTTTGAGTATGGATTTGTATACACCATGGTAAATGGATGTTGTCATGACTACTTGATGTAGGTCCATGGCTAGGTAATTGTTATTTATTTGAGACAGGACATGTATGCATTATTTATATGCGGTGATGTCGTTATTGCAATGCATAGGTTTAAAAGGAAAAAATTAATTCACCTTATGGATTAAAGGAGTATAAATAAATCAATGATTTGCTTCCGCATTTATTTAATTAAACTAGTTGCGCTTAATACCATTGTATGACTAATACACCGGATGCACACGAGGTGTTACAACTGTGAGTCTCTGGTTTATTGTATTTTTTTCTTTTTTCTTAGTAGTTTGGGCTTGGGCCTATGAATATTTATTGTTGCTTAGGGTTTTCAATCTTATTTATATTCTCCTTGTAAACTAATTAAATGTAGTAATAAGTACGATGCAAAGAATATAATATATATTGTTGGATGTAGCCCACGTTAGGTGAACTAGGATAAATATGTGTCTTCACTTTTCTTCTCTTTCTCTACTCAAGTTAGCAATATATATATATGCACTAAGAGTAGTTGCATTACGGTTTAAAGAGAGTTACTTAGAAGGCTTCATTTCTTCTTCTTTTTTCCTATAGGTGTTTCCACCCGTTTGGATGAAATTGATCCCCTTCATAACGTACAGTGTTAAAAAAATTTCTACTAACCCCAAATTGCTTCACCAATGATTCAAACCAGAGACCTTTTAGCCCTAATAATCCGTTTCTTATGCACAGCTCGTTTACGAGGTGTGTCATCCCTCGGGATGCCCTTCATTTCTTTATATAGACTTCTTTTCGTTTGTTTCGATATATATATATATATATATATCGATCAATTCTGATTCTTTTTCTATGGATTTTTTTCCGATCGAGATGTGGACTTATTATAATGAGTAGATTCATGGGCCAATGGCGAAGATATATAGAAAATTTTGTGTGAGGGGAGCAAGGAAAGCATAATTCAGACTCACTAAGACACACGATAGAGGGTCGATATATAGTAAAATTGAAGAACTCTCCAAGTTTTCTTCATGCATAAGGAATAATAAGGACGAAAGAGCCAACTTGTTATACTACCTTTCGTTTAAGTCTCTGAATATAGTGTAAAACAAAGTTTTGATAAAATTAATGGAAGTGGATGATGGTTGCTCTAACCCCTCTATGATTCCATCACATCATGGACGAAACTCTTTCCCTAGGATTAGGGGAAGAAACTTCTCTGATTGTTGCAACAGGATCATTTCAGCAACAAGTAAACAGTGTCATTTTCTCACATATAGAATATACTTTTAAAACAAACAACACACAATAAAATATGTACCAGTGGCAATTAATAAGAATTAGCTCTAACCTTTAACCTTTTCATATACATGTGTCTAAATACGTCTAAGATTTTAACTCAAGAAATTGACAACCACTTAATTATGGAATGAGTAATGATTTTGGAGTCAAGCATGTGAATGTTTAGCATGGAGAAGTCAAATTTCCCAAATTTTAGACATTCAATTTTAAATGGTTTTGTAATATTTGAAGTCTTTCATCGGGTGACGCGTATGTAGATATGATAGAAAAATCATGCACTCAAAAGGTATTTTTGGTGATACGCATATATATACATATATTGGTTTTATAATTATGGGAATTGCTACACCTTTTTCTGTCCCACTTTAAGATAAAGCAAAAGCAAGCGAGGGGAAATAGAAAAGCAAAGGAAGAAAAGAAATAACACGAAAGGAGGAAGAAAGGAAAGAAAAGAAAAGCAATAAAGAAAGGGAAAAAGAGAGGAAACAAAAGATAGAGAAGTTCTCAAAACTCCATGATTATTCAAATTCTTTCAAAAACAAGTCCAAACAGTGGTGTTCGCCCTACTTAATCAAAGGAGGACCTCCAAATACCCTCTCAAACAAAAGTGAAAGAGAAAGTGAATTTTCTCTTTCTTTTCATTTTTTCTTTGTAATAAACTCAAAGGGAATTAAGAAGGCATGAATAGAGGTGTTGTTCAAAGTTCACAGGTGCAACAAATGATGGCTGGAAACCCTAACTGGTGGAACATCAATATCAATAGCATGAGGCCCCCTCCTCCACAAGCTCCTCCTTTCTTGTCCACTCCTTCTAACTTTCTTACCCCTTATGCCCCCACTTCTTCTTCTTCTCCTCTTCCTTTTCCTTCTTGGCATGACAATATTCAAGAGCTTCCTGAATCATGGAGCCAGCTACTCATGTAACTCTCTCTCTCTCTGTATCACTCTTTCACTCACACAAACACACACACACATAAATAGACTAACATGGCTGCATGGTAATTATAATATCTTTATGTTTGGTTATAGGGGTGGAATGGTGGCTGAAGAAGATAAGGTTGGTATGGGACAGTTTCAGACTAAGAAGTTAGAGAACTGGGAGGATCAAATGCTTGGTCAAGATCCAAATGCTTCTCTTGTTGATGTTAAACAAGAAAGCTCAGTTAATAGCTATGGAAATGAAGAACTTCAGCCATCAAAGCATGCTTGGTCTCCAAAATCATCTGTGACAAGTTTCAGCAGCAACATGTTAGATTTCTCTAACAATAACACGGATGCGAGGCATCCACCACCAGATCGATCTTCTGAGGTAAGGAATTGATTAGATTTCATAACACCCTTGATTTATTGAGAATCTACAATTTTCTGAATTCATATTACTTTTTTTTTTTTTGTTCTTGGTCAATGAGTTACACAGACTCACTTTTTCATGAAACTTTACTAATTAACACCTTTAAATTTGGCCAGAGAAAAGCTTTCATATTTTAGAATATTTAAAAAAAAAATCATATTTTCCAATACCCTTTGAGTCCTTTAACTTTTTGGTTTGAATTACAAGTTGTTTTTTTATTCTTTCTACATATATTGTGGATCATAAACTTGGTTACTTTATCTTATCTACTTTAAATCAAAATGAGTGATGTAGTGTACATACTTGACTTTGGCCATGTTTTTAGATTAATGAACCTTAGACAATACAAAAATTCTCATTTTTTCAGCTTTTGTTTTTTTTTAGAATTCAAATTTAATCAAATTTTTTTTTTTCTTTCTAAAGTGCAATAGCACTGCAGCTGGTGGGGCACTCAAGAAAGCTAGGGTTCAACCCTCTACAACTCAGTCTACCTTCAAGGTATAATGCAAACTACCAGGCAGAAACTTCCAACCTTCAACTATCTTTTAGGCATATAAGCACTCACAATCACCATGTGGGGGGTAATTGTTGTCTTTCTTGGTTGTCCAACTCCCAATCATGATGATTCTTTATCTCTTTTCTTCGTCGTTTTACTATCTCATAAAGAAAGAATCGAAAATCAACCTAATGAAACAACAAAATATAACCAACTTTGAAGCATGTGCTTCTCCGACACACTAATATGATATCTTCTTCTCAATTTCAGGTTAGGAAGGAGAAGTTAGGTGACAGAATTACAGCACTTCATCAGCTCGTTTCCCCATTTGGGAAGGTAAGCTTACTTTATTCGATCAATTAAAAATTAATGCACATTAATTTAATTCATCATGTCCAGTTTAACAAAAAAATAAAATCAACATTCTTTAGGAAGAAAATCCAATAAAAGATAAAGGAAAAAATAATTTTTAAAACTCAATTGGTGCAGCTCAGTTGACAACACAAACTGAGTAGAGTGGGGAGACAACCTGAGTTCGATTCTCAACAATTACATTTTTGGGTGTGATGTGAAATAATATTAAAAAATCTAAATCACTAATAAATAAAGAAAAAAATATTTGTCATTTTAAATGATACAACTTTATATTATTTTTAATGAAACAATGGTATTTTGATATATATTTATTTGTTTTTTTTATTCTCGATCTTTCCTCTATAATACTCTCTTTTTTAATTTTATGAAAGAGAGAATATAAAAAATCAACAAATATATACTAAAATACAGTCATTTTATTTAAAATGACATAAAATTATGTTATCTAAAATAACAAACTCTTTTCTCATAAATAAATCATAGAAACTATATTATATTTACTTATTTCACTTGAGCTCATGTGAAATAAGATAGTCTATTAAGGATATTTTTCTATATATAACTTTCCTCCTTTATCTACAATTTTTCTACTTTATTTTTAGAAAGAAAGAAAAAAAGATTCGGTAAATTTTTAGCGTTATATAGAAGTGATGACTGGGAATATGACTGTGGAGGATTGTAATGTGGTATATTTCACTTTTTCAGACTGACACAGCCTCTGTCTTGTTAGAAGCTCTTGGGTATATCAGATTCCTTCAGAGTCAAATTGAGGTGATGTTTCTTCTCTTTCCTTTAATTTCCCAAACAACCATGAGTCAGTGATGGCACGCTATTAAAGTTTCATTTCACGTTTATGTTATTTCCAACATACCCTGTTGTTATTGAAGTTCTAAAAATACTTCCTTTTTTTTCCCTCTTTGTATGCAGGCCCTTAGCTTACCATACTTGAGCAGTGGATCAGGAAACACGAGGTATCAACATTCTGTAAGAAATAACAATATAAACCCCCATTTCTGGTTAACAAAAATTAGCACATATATATACAGGGAAATGATTCGTTTACAATTTTTTTTTACAAATTACAATAAGTATTACCGTTCATATACTCTTGACGGAAGTATGACTGGTCATACTTAATGTAATTTATAAAAATTCGTAAACCATTTCTCACTTCCCAAAGCATGAAGAATAATCATTCGTGCTACTTCATGCCTCTTTTGCATGTGCAAGAGAGTACTAATTAATCGATAATTATGTGGTACTAATTAAGTGATGATTGTAATTATTTAATGTTAGGTTCAAGGAGAGAAGAATTGTATATTCCCTGAAGACCCCGGTCAGGTAAGCTTTTTCATTGGATCCAATATTGATTAATCTCTTTAAAGGGTTGCATTTTGAAAGAAGTTACCAATTAACCTTAAATTATATTATTAAATGAAGAAAGCATCTACAACTAAAGAGATATGTCACCAGCTTTATTACATATGATCAAAACAAGTGGCTTCCTTTACCACGTTACTAATTGTAAAGTTGAATGCTTATTAATTAAATTATCGTTTTATTTTGCTTTCTGGTTATAGCTGCTGAATGAAAATTGCTTGAAGAGGAAAGCAGCTGGAGAGCAGGTAATTGTTCTAAAAAAATTTGCTTCTTCTCCATATTCTTAGTTTTAAATTAGGGTTTAATATAGTATAAGAAGAGAAATTTTTCTACATGCTCTTCGATTCTCGTGCTGACATGGGTCCCTGATGCTATCCGGCAAGTATACCGTTTCGCATAAGTAGTAAAGTAGTAAGAAAGATCGTCTCCTCAGGGATTGAAAACCAAGTACTAAAATAATCAGTCACTTTAAGTTGAAAAACTTAATCTCTTGTTGGGAAAATTAAATTGAATCTTAGTAACCATAAAAGTAAAGGCTTATTTTTGAGTTTTTTTGTATTTTCAAGAATGAAAAGAAGAATAATAATGGAGTTGGTTTTGAAAATATGAGAAAGAATTGCAGTTAGGGAACACTCTCCCTATGATCCCCACGTATTACTTTGGATTGATACAAAATACTTATTTATATAATTTCTCAGATAATTATGATCTCAATATATTAATAATTAAATCTCAATTCCTTGGTAACTTAACCCTTTAACCTCACTTAGAATCCTAATCCCTTAGTAACCCCTCATGAGAATTAAGCAATGAACACAATAATTCCAACATCTGCAATTAAATATACATCTATCCCTAGTATGCATACCAATAGTTATCTTATCTCCTTTCAAGATCAGAAACCCCAATATCCCTATTTAAGATTCTAACCCTCAAACTATTTTCAACTATTAAATTGATCAGGTTTAATAAAGAAAATATCAAATACGCACAAGGTAAGATAAAGAAATTTATATAAACGAGTAAAATAATTTAAATCAATCTGTCATAACAAGGGTTCACATAGGGTTTGTGACCCTAACTACAATAAAAGAACTTAGCCAGACATAGTCATATCTGACATAAACAAATATTCAAAAGAAAGCATAAAAACTATAATTACTGGAAAGAATAGAGAAGAATTCTTGATCTTCAGTCTTCTACTGCTTGCTCCGAGTTGTGAATTGGTTCCCTTTGTTGTACTCCCAAGCTCCTTATTTATAACCACCGGCATTGAGCCCATCCAAGAGTTTGTATTTGATTTAAACTTTGTTTCCTTTTTTCATGTAACAACCTTGGAGATTTGATTGATAAATTAGAATTTCAAATCTTTATTGTATCTTGATTCAATCTTATCACAAATCATCTAATCTTATCTCTAATTTGAATAGAGATCTCATTGCTGAATCAAAAACTTGATTTTTAAATCTTTTTCTTTTCCAAAATTGCCCCGTTGCAAAACACAGGATCTGAGAATTCGCAAACTGACGCTCTCAGCGTCAAATTCACGCTTCAAGCGTGAACGCTTCTGTCTGAAAAATTCCTTCCACGCTTCCAGCGTGAGATCCACGCTTTGAGCGTGGATTTTGATTTTGAAAAATCCTCGTTTTGCTCCAGTTTGTTTGCTTTTTCCTACAAAATTAGCATAAAATCAGTATTCAATCCTTGATTAAGATTTTGACAAATTAACAGTGATTCTTGCTCTTTTTCTCAAGATTTCATCAACATTCTTTCTCTTTTTGGCTCAGATTTCCTTATATGCTAGGCGCATATCAGTCCCACACATATTTTTTCTAATATATGGGTCCCACGTGATTTTTTGTCTCTATGACATAAGAAGGTTCATCTGATGTAATATAAGAAGTATAAAACCCTTTAAATTATAATAAAAACAAATTTATTATTAATTATCACCTAGAATATTTTTTATTCTTATCAGTGAATTAGAGATACATGAATGTTTTTTATATTATATTACTCTAGACCACTTATTTACCGAGGTTATGATATTAGATCATGTCACCAACTAATTCTGTTAAAAATTTATATTATTAGGTGAAAATAGATGAATAATTTTATATATTATACTTATAACATTATCCCACTTACTTTGAATGTTGTTAATTAGGATTCTCAAGAAGAACTAAAGAAGGACCTGAGGAGTAGAGGGTTGTGTCTGGTTCCAGTTTCATGCACACTACAAGTTGGAAGTGACAATGGAGCTGATTATTGGGCACCTGCCCTCGGAGGGGGCTTTCGGTAGATCAAGTTTACAATTTGGGGCAGCATATACATATAAATATGGCAGCATGCAGAGACATAAATTCATGGAAATGATATAACATCATGAGCAAATCAATCTGCTAAAAAAAACAAAGGCTGATTGCTCATGATGCTATACTTCATTCCAGAATAAAATGTGTGCTAGCCATGACAAGTATTTTGCAAGCCCACGAGACTTCTTAATTCATGGAAATCATGCTCTTTTCTTTATTTTCATTAGCTTAATTAAGATGGTTGTGTTAATTAATGCACTAGATTTCAGTGTATATCCAATATTTGTATGATTAATCATTTGAATGCTACTTTTTTAGCAGCATTAATTGAACTGGTAGTCATCATGCTCACTTTTATATTACTACATACAACTGTTTTAACAAAGTTTTGAGCCCATTTGGATCGTTACAGAAACCTAGGAATGAGCTATATATCAAATTTTAAGCAAATCAAAACATCTTATACCTCTCAAGAGCTCTAATTTTAAGATCAATCTGTAGGTATCCCATTAACTATATCTGAGATAGGGACCTAAGTCATTTACACCTCCTTATATAATATTTGTTGCTTTGCTTGGTGCCTAAGTCATTTAATTTAATTAGGAGAATATAGATATATTCTCCTGTGAGAGCATGTACGTATTCGATCCTCCCAGTATTATTTTTGGAAGGAATTTAAAGTCTTAATCTTGAATACATCCTGAACAAGATTGCCTCCTGTAAAAGATACCTATAATTTATTCAAGAGAATAAAATAAAACATATAGAGATATTCTATTTTGCACTATTCAACTATTTTTTGGTGGTGCGTTTTTACTATTAGGCCTTAATTAGACGTGTGCATTATTGTTGGACTTGGATCTAAGATCTGGCTCACATTAGATATTTAATACCTTTTTACATTGCTGTTTCACATTTAAAACATGGGGAAACGGTCCTTTTAGTAAAAAATTTAAATTATAAATTTTTTCTTCCAATGTCTCCCTTCCATAATTTGTTCTATTATCTCTTTTAAAATAATATAAATATATATCTTTTAAAAGGACACACAGTTTTCCTCAAAACATTAACATATTTTAATAATTTCAACACATGATAATAAATTTATTGTTTATTATATAAAATATCATAAAAATATTTCTGCAGTTAATGCAGATAAGTTATCTGTATTTACTTTTAAAACGACGTCATTTTGAAATTGAAAGATTATAAAATTATAATTATAAAGACTATAATAACCCTGAAATAAATTAAAATTACCAAAACACCATAATTTTCGCCCAAAACGATGCCGTATTGAGCTTACTACAGATAAGTTATATGCAGTAACTGCAGAAAAACGAACCCATCAAATATTGAAGTGATGTAACCAAAAAAAATATTGAACAGTAATTACTCAGAACTAATGGCATTATAAGAATAGAACTGTAGAAATATCTTATTCAATCGTCATGATCACCTTATCTGGGCTTAATTATTGAGCTTACTACTTCACGTTTTGAATGAAATAAATTATAATTACGAAAATATCTTGACTTTCGTCCAAAAACGACATCGTTTTGAACTCAATATTGATAATTTATCTACATTGACTGTAGAAAAAAACGAATCCTATATAATTTTCAGGGTTATAATAATCTTTCTCCTTATAATTTTTTAATTTTTCAACCCAAAAACGACGTCATTTTGAGAGTAAATATAGATAACTTATCTACATTCACTGTAGAAACATTAAAATTATATATATATATATATGGGTGAGGATCATTTTACACCAGTGTAAGTTACACTCTCAATCTTGTCCGCTGATCCCACTTATATCTAAGGGCTCAAATTTTTTAGTAATGTGAGCCATTAGATACAAGTGGATCAATGGTCAAGATTGAGTGTAAGACTTGTAACTCTTACACCGATGTAAGAATATCCTGCCCCTATATATATATATATATATATATATATATATATATATATATATATATATATAAGTTTTCTCATGTTGTAGGATAGTAGGAGAGAAAAAAAGTAGAGAGAAGTTAAATGTGGGTCCCATCTTTTATATTAAAAAAGAAAAGAAAAATTAATTGGCACGGAAAACGAATTTGTGTAGGAAAAGATGTTACTCTCATGTAGCATGAGAGTATTACTTCCCATATATATATATATATATCGAGATATTTTTACATCAGTATAAATATAAGAAGTGTTACACTCAATCTTGACCATTGATTTCTTAGTATCCAATGGTTCGCATTCCTAAAAAATTAGAGCCATTAGATCTAAGTGGGATGAACGACCAAGATTGGGAGTGTAACTTACACTGATGTAAAATGATCCTGACCATTTGTGTGTGTGTGTGTGTGTTAAATATTTCTACAGCCACTTTAGATAAAGTTGTCTATAGCTACCCTTTTTAACTAAAGTCTGATCAATAAGACATAAAAATTGCATTTTTTTTCTCTCCGTCACGTCAGCCAACAATGCATGAGGAAAGAGAAAAAAAGAATAGATTTATTGTTATAACTATGTCTAACTGGTTACACTTAGTTAACAAGGGATATCTATAAATAATGTTATCTAAACTCTAAAGTGACTGTAGAAATATTTTTTCATATATATATAGATAGGATCCTTTGACACCAGTGTCAAATTTGAAATTTGACAACTCATCTGAGAGCCGTTAGATCAAAAAAGATCAACGACTCTGATTTGTAAGCATGTGACACCATTGATATTTTTTGATCTAACGGTTATAAGATGAGGTGTCAAATTTCAAATTTGACACTGGTATCATATGATCCTACCTCATATATATATATATATATATATATATATATATCGTGTAAAATTTTAGTTTTTTTTTACATAAAATATAATGATGATAAGGATTAAAATCTTAATTACTTGATTGGAAGCACAATGACGCTTTGATACTTTGTGAAAGAACCAATTACCTTATGAAGTTAAGCCATTTGTTGGGCTATGTATATAGCTGGATAGCTTTTATAGCCATTACAAACTAGTAAGCTACTATATATATAGGCATATAGGTCATCATGAATAATTGAAACTCAAAACGATTTGCACTGAGTTGTGTAGACAGATGAATCATCCACCAAGAATGTGACAAAACAGCTACACGTGACCTGAAAACATGTATCTACATATGATATCAATCTTACACAAACATAATCTTAAAAAGAACACTGACAACGAAATAACAACTCTTAGGCTATGTTTTTGTTTTCCTACAATGTATACGTTGGTGATTCCTCCACTAATGATGGCATTGTTTTGTCAGCTTCATAATTTTGAGCACGACCTTAAATTTAATTAGTTCGGCTTAGGTCAGTCTGCGAAAGTATTGATGAATAATAATTTGAAAATTAAATAAACAGAGATAAGGGAGGAACAAAGAATACCAAATATTTTAACGTGAAAAATCTCTTCGATGTGAAGAGTAAAAACTATGAGACCAAGTCCAAAAAAAACGTCCACTATAAATAATAAGATTACACAAGATTCTCTCTTGCTTAATAATTAGAGGATTTCACCCTCTAAAGGATGAATCTACTCACAAATACCTTACACAAATGTTTCTCTCTGTAAAGGGGATAAGAAATCTTATTCTATAGGTATTCTTCTTCTTTAGTGATGGCGCTGGGTTTCTTCCTCATAGAATCTTTGTCTTTGGCTTGCGCTTTTCTCCTACACATTTGATTCTTCGCATCTGCGTCTTTTTTATTTTTTTCTTCCTCTCTATATGACAGCTCAACATCTAACTATCTCTTATAAATAAGAGATTAGGGCACCATTAATTTGGGCCGGATCCATGAGCTTCCCCTTCGTTCCTATGAGGAAGGATATCTGAGCTTCCCCTTATCCGAGATATGAGGCCGGGATAGTCAACCCGGCACCTTCACAGCAATCTTCAAACTTTCATGTGAGAACGGTCTTGGTCATCATGTCTAACCAGTTCAAGTTAGTATGGACTTTGTCGAGCTGCAAAAATTTCTCTTCTATCACATCTCGAATCCAATGGTACCGACATCTATGTGCTTTGACCGTGTATGGAATGTTGAGTTCTTCGCTAAGTGTATAGCACTCTGGTTATCACACTTTAGCACATACTTCTCCTGACTATGGCTGAGCTCCTATAGAAAACTCTTCATCCACATTAGCTCCTTGCATGCCTCGGTTGCAGCAATGTACTCGACTTCGGTAATAGATAGGGCGACACACATCTGGAGTTTTGACTGCCAAGAAATAGCTCTTCCTGCAAAGGTAGTCAAGTAACTTGTGGTAGACTTCCTTGAAACGTCATCTCTGCCCAGGTCGGCATCTGAGTAGGCTTCTAACTTGGATTTTCCTCTCCCAAAGCACAAATACTTGTTTACTGTGCCTTAAGATATTGAATATCCATCTGACGGTGTCCCAATGTTCCTTGCCCGGGTTCGACAGAAACCGGCTTACAACCCCGATTACATGAGTAAGGTCGGACCTTGTGCATATCATAGTACACATAAGACTGCTTACAGTTGACTGGTATAAGACCTTTGACGTCTCATATCTTTCTTCAGCACTAGTTAGACCTTGCTTCTGACTCAACTTGTAGTGTCCGGCTAGAGGAGTACAGACTATCTTTGATTGGTCCATGTTGAACCTCTTCAGAATTTTCTCTATGTACTTTTCCTGAGATAGCCACAGCAGCTTTTTTGAGCGATCGCGGACAATCTTCATCCCGAGTATCTATCTTGTTGGGCCGAGATCCTTTATAGAGAATGACTTGCTCAAAACTTTCTTGAGGGCATTAATCTTCTCATATCTTTCCTCACTATTAACATGCCATCTACATAGAGTAAGAGGATGATGAAGTTCGCAACATACCTCTTGATAAAAATACAATGATTTGCTTGAGTCTTCTTAAAGTCATGTTGAGTCATGAAGGATTTGAATTTTTTGCACCACTGTCGGGGTGCTTGCTTCAAACCGTACAGACTCTTCTTAAGTCTGCATACTTGGTGTTCTTTACTAGGAAATTCAAAATCTTCTGGCTGCTCCATGTATATTTCTTCTTTCCAGTCTCCATGAAAAAAGGCAATCTTCACATCCAGTTGTTCGACCTCCAAGTATTGAGTGGTCGCTATGCCTAGAACAGTTCGGATCGACTTCATCTTCACCACTGGTGAGAATATCTCCTCAAAATCTATCCCTTTCTTCTGATTGCACCCTTTCACCACAATCCGGGCTTTATATTTCGACTTTGGGTTGTTATCCTCCACCTTG